TACTCTGATCGCACCGGTTGTTCTGTTTTAAAAGACACCCCTTCTCCCTTGATTGTGCTGGTTTCATGGTTATACACTTATCTCCAAACTCATCAAGTTGTACACAATAAATATCTATAGAGTTTATGTGTCAAACGTACCTTTAAATACAGCGGTTGGGAAAAGAAGAAATATCAAGACCATCGAAAATAAAATTATAGAAGCAGAGGAAGTAATGATCCCAAACAGCCCAAAGAGAGATCCATGCTGTATGTTAACGATGTGTGTGCTGCAATGTAAATCAAGCAGATATGACTGCTTGGCCTTTACACTCAAACAGAAGCGTTAAGCACATCATGAGGGATGGCTGGAGGATAGCTGTTTTCAAAAGTTTCTCTCTCATATAAAGAAATAATCAGTCCTTTGACTCTTTTATACAGGGATATCTGAGGCTCAAAAATCTATTATCTAAATAATAAGATAACATATTAATATTAGATAAATATTAATAATAATATTCAGTTTCTTAACATGACTTCCTAATTATGTTTTGCTTATGTCAACATTAAAACGCAGCCTCAGTCCCCAGCTGGCTGGCTGTGACCAAGGGAGGTAGACTGGAGGTCTGTGGAACTAAGAGTTGACTTTAGGTAAACTCAAAAGAGGTTTTATTTACACATACACACATGGAGATAGACTTCCCTGGAAGATTAGAGATAACCAATATAACAAATAGTTGCTAGCACCTATTGCAAATTGCTGTGAATATGTGGGTGATGGTGAGATGGTTCAGTAATAGAAATAAACCATGAGCTTTGCTCTTCCCACTGGTGGACTTGGATCTGTTCCCAGGACCCTATATGTTTTTTCTAAGTATGAAATCCCTTGGCATGCAGGCAGGAATGATGTCACAGTCCTCTTTATCCACTCAACTCCCCCATGTGTAATAGCAGCGTAGAATAGTGCCTGGTAGATGAGTAATGAATGCAAAAATTAAAATCTTCAGATTGGACACCTGAGCCTCTGGAAGCAGAATTTAAATTTCCAACACTGGCTAAATGCATAGTGTTTGTAAAGGAGGAGGCGTTTCCTTTGGTACAGGACCAGAATTGCCCAAATTAAAAGTATAAACCACCCCCCAAGCATGTAGAAGATCAAGGTCTCGGACAGCTATGCCCCACTTAAATCAAGTTCTGTATAAAATCCAGAATTTCAGATTTCTCCTGAATTTTGCTGTTGAGCATTAAATTCAGAATTTGGAAATCGAATTAGCCACGCCTGTAAGTCAGGGTGGGCTGGATTTTGTTGGCGGTTCCCTGTGAGGTAACTTGTGTATTACTGAACTCCCTGAAACTGCATTGTGACTACTGAGGGTTAGAGACCGTCAACCCTTCAAGCGCCTCATCCACTGCGTGGAGAAGCAGAAATACTCAGCTTGGCCTCCAGAGTGGGGGTGGGGGCACTTATATGAGCATTAAACCTGATCAACACCCCTCTAAACCTGTCTCTAGAAACCAACTAATGGTAAATTAGCATTGAGAAGTCACTTTAGCGGCTAAAAAGAAGGAATGTTAAGCCAAATGAAACTCAAAAAGATAACATTTTATTTTCAGAGCAGCTGATGCAATATTGAATCAGGTTTTCACAAATAAATATGACAGTGTCTATTTGGTTACATCTCTGATGAATGCCTATCTATAAGAACTGTAATAAATTTCTGAGAAGGCTAATGACTGGAAACTTTTAAGTAAAATTCTCCTGGCTTTCTGAAAAATAGTATTGTGGCAGTTAAAAAAAAAATGCTCATCACTCAGGGGGAAACCAACCTAGAATGCCCTAGTTATTTTTGTTTTTTAAGGAATGCAACTTTTGAGGACAAGTCTATAAAACATCTTTATTTGTTACATATGATGTTTAAATATAACTTTGCTTTCAAGCTTCAAACTTTTTTTTTTAAACCCCTGGGAAAATAAGACTTTTGGTTCACCTTAACAAAAACTGACCTAGGAAGAAACATTTTTAGCAAAATGTATTATAAAATTCACTAGAAAATACTGTCCTCTTTTTTTGCCAAAATGTTACACAAAATCCTTATTAAAAATACACACGATACAAAAGAAAAAAGTATGAATATGCTATACATACTGCTTTTGATATGGACCAAGGGACCTGCGTTCCAGGGGAAAATACAGTGAAGCACATTAGATATTATGATGTCAACTGAAAATAGTGCAAACCAGAATAAATTACATCCTAACATGGCAAGGCATGCAAGACATTTCCTGTGAAGAGAACACAACGAAGCCAGAACAGGAAGCAATCACAACCACCATTTAAAAATGTTTTCGTTTTTATTACATTAATTTTTTTCAAAAATACTTTTCTTTACAATAGAACTCCTAGAAAATATTTACAACCTTCCTCTAATAAAATAGAACAGCAGTTAAATATATTTGAAAATAAGATGGGTTTTTCCATAAAATATATCTTTTAACTTTTTATATACAAGCTTTCTCAAAGAGGTCTAAATTCACTAATGAAAAACTATCTGATAGTAAACAGTAACCTGTTGAAGACATAAACCATTGGGAAGAAAAGTTCTTCGGGGTGAGGAGAGATAGGGATGGGGAACTAGAACACAGCACATACATGCAGGCAGAATCATTTCAGGAAAAACATAAGTGCAATATTTTACTGTGAAAATCCTCTAAGCTGATACTGTGAAGAAAAATACTAATTCAGCAAAGTGAACTGTCTCATCAAGGAGGAGTTCTTTGGTTATTTCAAGTCAAAAATGCTTATGGTATACTGCATGGAAAGTCAAAACTGAATTGTGCATTATATTTTTGCCTTGGCAACTCAGTTTATTTTAATGTTTTAAACTGGAACAGCCGGGCAAATCTCCAAACAGAATGCATACATTTGCTTTATAAACATTTTTCCTGGGTGTCTGCTCCTCTGCCAGATAAACTTTCAGAGATCCAATAGCAGAACGCTTCCAGAACCCTCTCATGTTCCCACATGTGGAGGGAAGTAGTCACCGGGGCAGATGGGATCAGCCGGTATTACACTTGGTACGGTTCTCAAACAGATCTGCCACAAAGCTGATGCCCTGCCCAGGCAGTCCTGAACTCAAAACATAGAATAACTTGTCAGAAATGGCAGCAAATGACACATTATTTCCCTTAAAAAAAAAAAAAAAGATAAAGGAAACTTTCAAGACCTCTTTTTTTCTGAGAACAGAAATGATGGCATGAAAGGAACCGTTGTATCGATCTTCTGTCCACGGCTTTCCTGAGATTCAGAGGACACTGCCTGCGTGGGGCCACTATGGGTCATGACTGCCCGCTAAACGCTTTTGCAAACGACGTAAAGGATGCTTTTTTCCTATCCTCATCCTTCCACTGACATCCTCTTTCACGTCAAGCTAGTTACTGTGTCAGCGAAGGGCCCTGGCAGGGTTGCCACGCCTCCAGGAGCTGGGGCATCAGCCTACCTGGGGTGGGGGAAGGTGGGAAAGCCCCCTGCTCGGAAGTCACCAGCCAGACGCGTCAGCTCTGAGCTGGGACCGCATTCCAGTCTGAAGGCGCGCACTCGTTTGCCCTGACGAGGCCACAGAGCAGTCTGACTCAGCTCAGAAGCGTGAGCTGAGAGCCATTTTTGAAGGATTACAGGTTTAATACCTTCAAGTACAAACAGCAGCCCTGCCGGCAGGGATGGGAGGCAGAGCAGAGTTATGTCGCTTGGAGAATTCTAGAAGAGCTTTGGTAAATGACTTTAATGAATAAATTCAGTTTGAATGCAAACAATGGAGCTGAAGGGGCATCTGGAACCGTTTTTGTTGGCCTTTAATGCTATTTCCCTTGTATTCGCCATCACATTTGCTAGAAAACCCTTTTCCTCAGAGTTAGCGTCAAAGTAAACTTCGGTCCAGCACAGATGCATGACAGCCGAATCGCAGTGAATCAGGTTTCATGGTACTTCCAAGCGGCACAGAGTAAGTTTGGAACCCCACAGACCATTAACGGTGTGGCAAAAAGAAATGAGCTCTTCTGAGCTAGTTTTTGGGCAAAAGAAGGCTGCTTGGCATTCTAGATACTTTGATCTGTGCTCCTTGACTATCTTCCCTAAAAACAACCCTAGCAACCTAATAGTTGGGGTTATTTTCCTCTGGACGGACTTGCAGTCAGTCAGCTCAGGCTGAAGTACGCCTCTGCCAACCGGTGAATTGGAGTCAACCAGTGCCCAGGGCACAGGGAAGAGGACACGCTTGCTCTATGAACCACCTTCTCAGTGAACCACTGCCAGGGAGGGAAATTCTGAAATGATACAGTACTCAGTTTTTAGAGCCACGCTGAGTGATGGGCAGGGCAGGGAGAAAAATTATTTTCACATTTGGTCAACTCTTCAAATGATGTGTATGCTGGAAGAAAGCTGTGGAACACAAGGCTGACTTTGCTCACTGGAAAGCTACTTCCTAGCAGGGTCTCTCAGCAAAGATGCCAAGTTCACTGCAAACTGTGGAATCAGGTCAACACAAAAATGACTGTTGGTGGGGAAGGATGGTCCAAGACCCCAGCACAAAGAAAGCAGCCTGCTTTACACACACACACACACACACACACACACGCACACACTCGCTCACTCACGCAAGCTTTGGGATAAAAGGCAACCAGGATGGTTGGCATCTAAAAAGCAAAAGAACATGAATGTCAAGTTCATTCCCAGCCAGGAATGAGTTCTTGGGAATGTAGCCTAGCCCAGATGAAACACATCTTAAAGTAGAATTGTGCCAATTATTTATTCCCCCCAACCTCCCATAAAAACAATTGTTTTTAAATAAAAGGAAAAGAAAAAACCGATTTGTTTCTAAACCTGAAAAAAAAAAAAAACAACCAACCACTTTTTAAACAGGTAGTTTAAAATGGTTACAAAACAAGCAGGCAGTCCCAGTTTCCTGATGAGAGGCTGCAGGCTGCAGGCTGTGGGTTTTTGCTGTTTTGAAGCGACACGTGGGACCTTCAGAGTTCCGTGTCACCCTGAAGCAAAACTGAAGCCTGCTCATCCAGGAGGAGACCGGTGTCCACGACCTCGGCCTCTGCCATGACGCCTCCTAACTGCTGGACGACGTCGTCATCGAGGAGGTCCACGTCCTTGATGGGTTTGATCAGGCTCAGCTGGTCCAGGGGCAGCAGCCCCTGCGGCCCCACCGGCCCCGTAGTCCTCTCGATTGTGGCTGCCATCTCGGCCGCAAACGCCGCCTTCTGCGCTTTCTGCCTCTGCTGCTCCTCCTGCTGTCTGTGAGTTTTCATGTGTGCGTTTCGGCTTTTGATCTTGAAGAAGACTCTATAAAAATAAGGAAAAAGAAGCATGAGACATTTAGAGCACCGGAGTTCTTGGAAATCCAAGGGGTCCTAGAGGGAACAGTGGGTGTGCAGTCTGATGTCTGGTTTGGGGTGGTGATGACAGTGTTCTGGTCTCCTTAGCTCCCAAGACCTCCTCTCCCGATGACCTGTCACCTCTCTTCTCTCCAAGGGAAGATGGGGACAGGAAAACATTTGTGTGTGTTGGGCTTTCTCCCTGCGACAATGAAGGATGGATTCTCAAAGCTGTCCTGTCCACCTGTGGCCTGGGGCCCATGCCCCTTTCCCTCCTTCTCCTCCCTCTCTCTATCTCCATCGCTAGGTAAGCCCGCTCAACCAGCTGAGAACCCCCAAATCATGCGGCCCAGCTCCGCTGGTTCCCACCATAAAACAACGCCTCCTCTGCCTCTGGCCTCCCGCCCCTGTTCTTCCTGTCAAAATTCCAGAGGGTCTCTGCAGACATGGGCTGCTCCCCCATCCTCCACACTCTCCAAGTGGAGCACCGTCCCCTGGACTCAGCCCGAGTGCTTGGGATCGCTTGCTAGTAATTGTGTGGGCAAATCCAACAGCCCCACCTCGGTCTTCACTGTACTTGACTTCTGCACCAAGCAGTCCTCTTCACCCAAGATCCCTTCTTATTTTGGCCACCATATGGCATAGTTGGCTCCTGTTTGCTTTCGAATGGAACAGTGGTTCTCAGCTGAGGGTGGGTCTGCCTCCCGGGGAGTAACGTCTGGAGATATTTCTGATGGTCACAATTGGGTGATGGTGGTACTTCTGGCTTTGAGTGGGGTAGAGGCCAGGGATGTCACTAAACATTCTACGATATTGAGGGCAGGCCCTCTACCCCAAACAAGGAATCGTCAGACCCCAAATATCAGTGCCGAGGTTGAGAAATCCTGAGATGAGGGGTCTGAAACTATAGTCAGTGGGCCAAATCCCATACGCTGCCTGCTTTTGTAAATAAAGTTTTCCGGGAATACAGCCATGTCTCTCTGTTTATGTATCGTCTATGGCTGCTTCTGCACTAAAATGGCAGAGCTGAGTAGCTGTGACAGAGACAGAATGGCCTGCAAAGCCTGAAATATTTCTCTCTGGACCTTTTTCAGAGAACATTTGTCCAGAGGTGAGGCTGCCTGTTTTAGGGGACAGTGAGTAGCATAAATATTCATTCCTGGGTTCATAAAGGAAAAAAACCCCTGATTTGTAAGACCTGTGTCTTAGAAGAGAGTTGATGAATCACCACACTACACTGAAAACTGCCTAATGTGATGAACATAATTTCAGCAGCTAAAAGAAGCATTCTGCAAACATTTGCCTGATGCTATTCTTAGTGTGGAAAACCATAGAAAATATTTTTATTTTCCATAAAATCTTAACTGGAGTTATGTTTGAAAAAGGTCCCAAGCAACATAAAAAGAGGACAATAAAAACAGTGAATGTCACCGAAAGACAGAGCTGAAAATACTCGGCTCTGGTTGTTAAAAATGTCCTTTGCTGCCACCTAGTGGAGTAAGGAGTTGCCTGTCTGGGGGAAGTCAGCAGAAGGTGCTGGTTCCCCTCAGGAGACAGTGGTGTGACCCTCTTCCCTGCCTCTCTCTTCCATCCCAGGGCAAGCAGATGGAAGCCAGACTAAGGAGGTTTCATTGCTTCAAGTAAATAAGCCCGATAGTCAGTCCAGGGGCTCCCTATTTCTCGGTGACATGAAGATGACATCATGTCCTGGCTCTGAGAGCCCCGAGGAGGGGGCCCATCCTAACTGTGTCTCCCTATCTCTGCAGGAAGAGAGCTGCTGGTTCCAACTCGCCTCGGCAGGTGCCACCGACCGAAGGCTAATAGTATAAATTCACTGGGCTGAGGAATAAATTAATACATGTAAACATCCTTTGCAACAGTGCCAGGCAAGCACTGAGTAACTGATAAATGGAAGCAAAATGCCTGAAATATTCCATGAGGATGAATACTATAAACAGAGGTCCTGGGTGGCCTCACTCATACACCAATGATGTTCCCTTAGTAGAGTTTTGGCAGCTACCTGGTGGGCATCTCTCCAGGTAACCCTGCGTGTTTGCAGCATTGCAGGTTACAGGAAGAGCAACTGGGTAAGGCTCCTAAAGGAAGTCACTCGTGACAGCCCCTCTTAGCACAGACTCACTGAGAAATAAACTGGAATTTTATACCGGATGCTGTGGGAGGGGACTGTGTGTATCTTACCAGTGATAAATAAGCAAACAAAGCAAACCAATGGGATGGAACAGTGGTCAGACACCCAGGCTCTGTATCTGAACACTGATGGCTTCAAATCTCAGTTCTGCTCTTTCTGGGGGCGTGACCTGAGGCACATCAATTTACTTAATGTTCAGTTCTTATTTGTAAAACAAGGATAAAATAATATCTGCATCACATGGAGTTTTTGTGTGGGGATTAAAAGAGCTCAGGAACATAAAGTATGTAACAAAATCAAGTTCTCAGTAAATGTTAGCTGTTGTTACTACCCACTGTCAGTTTCTCCCTTTTCTCTGTTTAAAATTATACTTAAAAGGGCAGAGATGACAAATAGGTTTTTTCTCGTGGGTCAAGTCTGATCAACTGGTTGTGCCTGCTTGAAGCATGAGGATTTAATGGATTGAAAAGTATTGGAGTCTTATCTTAATATGGTACCAAGGAGAATAGCAATTGATTAGTGGTATCTGCCCTGGGTGCAGGAATCATCAGTGGTGTTAGAAAAGCCATTTCTGCTACAGAGAGTTCCTGACTAGATGTTTTAGAGCCATTCTCAAATCACTGGGCAGGGATGCAAAGAGAGCGGTACTGCTGAATATGGTTTGGGTGTGAAGGGAAGAGGAGGGAATCAGTCCCAACCATCATTTCTGGAAAAGAGTGAAGTTCTGTCACTAGAGATCTGCTCTCTGATGATGTCCATCCTCATTAGGGTTTAGGACATCAGAATGACCATATTCTGAGTCAGAGACAAGGTCCGCCTGCCACGAGGTACCATGCCAACCCCGAGGGTGGTACTCGGAAAAGCTGGAGAGTTTGGGTTCTTTTTCTACCTGGAGGCATCTCAGACCACCCTGGCCCAGACCCCACAGGGGCCTTATTCATCACACACTTAGATCCAGTCCCTGGCCCAAGTCTACCTACTTGCCGCACTCTTTGCAGGGGAAGATGGTGGTGGGGTCTGTCTCGCCGCTGGTGGTGCTGTGGGAGGGTGAGCTCTTCACAGAGCAGTACCCGCTCTGGCCACTGCCAGCCTTCTGCTTCCCAGAGGGGACAGTGCCCCGAGCTTTGGTCACCTGGTTGGTGCCACCGTGGATGCGGGCATGGCCGTTCAGTGCCTGCCGGGAGCTGAACACCTGGGGAAGAAAGGGAGTGACATGACATCTACAGTCCTGAAAAGGAAATTAGGGTTATTAGTTACTCATCAGTAGAAAATGAGATACTTGAAACAGAGTCTAATGACAAGGCACAGGGGTTTTACATAAGCAAATTCTGGGCAAATGCCACCGAAAGCAGAGATCAAATACCACAAACACAAATGCTGTGCCAACAACAACAACAAATCATTCTTATGACCAAAGACTGGGGGCTCAACCCAGAGCCTCCAACACACATGGAGGTCATTGGGCCATCTCCCCTCTGAACGCCTTATTTTTTCCATCTGTAGAATGAGGGGGTTTGGATCAGCTTTCCAACATTTTTTTCAGCCAGAAACTTCTTCCCACTTTTTTCCCTTTATTTTTCCCTCCTCTTTCCTTTTTTTTTTTTTTTTACTTAAAAAATCTTATTCAAAAGTTCAAAGCTAAAAGCAGAGGTGCTCTGGGTGAAAGACACAGCATCCCAGAACTGGGTCTATTTGCTCAGCTCTATCTCCCCTAGGAATCCCTAGAACCCTAAGAGACACAGCTCTGAAAACACTGATTAGCTGCTCTGCTCTATTCTATGTTACATCTAAGCCCCAGTCAGTAGCGCAGTGCTGAAGCCACATTTCAGACCCCCAAATTTCACTGCAGGATGATAAAAAGGGGAATGACCCAGTCTTTTGAAGCTTGCCATAAAGCATAGTTTCCCAACCCCAGTATTGCTGACATTTTGGGCTGGATAACTGTTTGTTGTGGGGCTGTCCTTTGCATCATGGGGTGTTTAGCAGCATCCCTGGCCTCCACCCACCAGATGTTAGAAGCACCTCCCCAGATGTGACAAAAATGTCTCCCTCTGGACATTGCCAAATGTTCATAGGGAACAAGATCATTCTCCAGTGAGATTCACTGCTGTAAAGGGAAGTGATCCACCCCCTGAATTCCTAGAGCCCTGACTTCCAGATTGCTAAATGCACTAGCTAATGCAAGTATTCACTGAACCACCCAGCCACAGACGGTTGCTGTGTTAAGTTCATGAGTTCCATTTATAGTCTTGCAGGGAAAAAAAAATCTTTGGTTGATTTAGCAACCAAAACTTCCATGGTTAGGCAATGAATAAAACCAACACACTTTTTTTTCCCCTGTTGTTTTTTTGAAGTCACGAAAAAACATTCATCCTGCTAAGCATTTTTGATTGGGTAAAGTAAAAGATGATTCCCCTCACAGGAAAGAATTTACTATAGACCCAAACTGTGAACAGAGGAAGCAATCAATTTCTAAACAAACTCACCAAAAATACCATCATTTAAAGTCACTTTTTGAACAGAAGTGTTCTATACAGTATGGTAATGATGGAGTGAAACATCTAGGTCTTTAAACATCAAAGACAGAAACAAGCTAGCAATTTATGTTCTCTTCAAAGGTAATGCAAGATGTATATATCATTTTTTTTTACACTTTCATTTTTTTCTTAGATGTGAATCAAGTGAATTTCAGCTTTAGAGCCTAAAATATCTGAAAGATTGCTGCTATCTTCATCTAAGTGACAGACTCAATAAACAGCATTCAATACACTCTGGGAAAGAGTGTTATCCTATGTAATAAACAAGCAGAGATAATCATTAACTTGGGGGAAACAGGGCTTCATATGAAAGGAACAATATTCTAATTTTTTTTGCATAATACCTCTAGAACTTGCCTGTATAGCTGTGTACAGCTTTAAGAAACCTGATTTGTGAAAAGCTCAACAACTTAGATGAGGAGGAGACCAGTGGCCTGGAGTAGGAAATGGCAACCCACTTCAGTATTCTTGCCTGGAAAATTCCATGGACAGAGCTATAGCCCATGGGGGTGGCACGAGTTGGACACAACTGAGTGACTTTCACTTCACAGGAGACCAGTGGAGGATTGAGAGTCCAAAGTTAACAATTTAAAAAATCTATTCTTTAAAATACACAGTGAGTCTTACATCAGCCAGTACAGATTCTGTAAGGCTTTAGCACTACGAATGATCAAATGGTGAATTGGTTTTATTTTAGTAAGATGATGCTTCTAATGTACTTATTAATAAAAAAGTACTAGGTTAAGTAATTAAACAGACATGCTTTCAGCCTGTTTACATGATTAATTTGCTTAGTAAATCTTTTTTTTGCTTCCCTCAAAGAGTACAAAGATAAACTTCAGCCAAATCTTTGTAATTATGCCATAAAAGGAGACTCCTTCTCTGGGGGCTCTCCCATGGCATTTGAATGCATGTTTCCAGGGTGAGCCTGGTGTGATAGCTCAGAGGAGTGGGGAGGCACCAAGAAACGGGCAGTGTGAGTTCTGGAGGCCAAGGCCACTGCAGAGCCTGAATCAACTGCTTCCTGAGGCCAGGAAAGGACTTGCATCCTCTGAGCATGTGGCACAGTGTTTGACTCTGCTTGACTCCAGAAATATCTGTGGGCCAAACAAGTAAATGAATGAAAGAAAGAAAGGTATGGCCACGTGGACTTCTCTCTGCCCAGCTTTCACTGCTGGAAGAGCACCCTCCTTTGTAAAATGCATCATCTCTTTAAGCCGACTGTACGCACGGCTCTCACCAGTCCCAGATCCTTGGAGGACGCAGAGACACTTACCGCCCCGCAGTTGGGCATTTCACAGATGAAGGAGCCCGAGGGCTGGCCCAGGGCCTGCAGCGGCGGCCCCTCTGTGGGAGCCAGTACCGGGCCCGGCGGCGGCTCCGGGGACTTGGGCAATTCACTCTCCTCTTCTCTTGTGGATTTCCTGTCTTCTTCCGGATCCTCCTCCTCCTCCACCTCTTCATCTTCTTCACTTGTCTGGTGTTAAGGGAACACAAGAGAAAGGGGGGAACCCCCCAAATGACATTTTTAGTGATGAACAGAACCCAGGGGCCAGGGAAGGAGAGAGGGCCAGGACGCTGGGGCTGTGGCGGCATCTTTGTGCATGAGAGAGTGGCTGGCAGAGGCCTCTCAGGAGGGACAAGGTTGGTCACTGGACACCTGGAATTCTGAGAGCAACCAAGTCCCCGAGGCCCACTCTGGGTCCCCTCATCACTTATAAAAAAATATGCTAAGGCAGACAGGAGAGATTTTTCTACGTAGAGTTTCTCCCCCCTGTTGGAGACCAGCAGAACAATGACATCGACCAAAACCCAGGCAGGCTGCCCAGCTTGTAGCTGCTCTGTCTTCCCAGGGGAGTGAGAAGGATTTTCAAGCAGAAATGACATTGTGGAACTCCGTTGGGCAGAGACCAAAGCCACATCATTATATTTTTTTAAACTTTCTACTTATTTTGGCTACACTGGGTCTTCATTGTGGCTCGAGAGCTCTCTAGTTGCAGGCTTGATCCCCGACCATGGATCAAACCTGGGCCCCCTGCATTGGGAGCATGGAGTCTTAACTATTGGATCACCAGGGAAGTCCCCATGCTTGTTTGTTTTTTTAATTATTTTGTTTTTAATGGAAGGATAAATGCTTTTCACTATTGTGTTGGTTTCTGCCATACATCAACATGAATCAGCCATAGGTATACATATGTCCCCTCCCCCCATGATTTGTTTTTAAATGCTATCACACTTCCTTGCAAGATGCCCAAGATATTGATTTGACCTTCAGCAGGCACATGACCCACGGCATTCTGATGCGCTCTTGCTCTCTTCTTGTCAGAATATAGAATCAAAGAGTGAACCACAATGACTCTGAAAAGGGGCAGAAATGGAAGGGGATTGGGTATTTCCTTTTACTTATCATGTTTTTTTGTTTGTTTGTTTCTGGTCATAGGCTCTTGAAGAAATGCCTTTCAGAGGCACTCTATAAAAAAGAACAAGAAAAATATTTCTATGAATAATTATCCTCTCTGCAACTGTGTCCCTTCTGTCTACTTCAGAACAGCAACGAGATGAAATAGGTAGAAGATTCTTACCATCCTTGAAGTTAACAAGACAGTTAAAGGAGCAGCCTGGAGGAGGTACTGGGTGGGCTGGGAGAGAGGGCAGGAACCTAGGTGGCCCTTTTATTGAACTGAGTGCCCTATTTTGCAATCTCCATCCGCATGAGGAGGCGGGCTGAGGAGGGCTTGCTCCTAGGGCCTAGAAGGACTGAGGACCAAGGATGGGAACTCTGTTCCAGCAACCTCATTTCAGCTTCTGTTTTACAGCACTTCATGGTGTATGAAGTGTTTTCACATTTGCTATGTCACTGGATAGACTGTAAACCACCTGTTTAACAAATGAGGAAACAAGATGGGGGTGGCCAGCTGCCTCCCACCCTGATGGATCACTGGTCTCTGCTGGGCTCTCTGCACACGCACTGCTTGAAGCATGTGGGCTCCAGTTTGGTTAACCCTGGACAGCAATGTAATGCTGGTTGAGCCTATGAGTCTTAGAACACGGAAGCCAGAACCCACCAGCTTTGTTTTTCCAGTTCGGATTGGAGATGGGAGTGAAAGACAATCCCAGTAATACGGGCATTTAGCACACTCTTCACTCATTCAGTTTTAGCCTTATTTAATATGGTATATGGGGCTTCCCTGGTGGCTCAGATGGTAAAGAATCTGCCTGCAGGGTGAGAGACCCGGGTTCAATCCCTGAGTCGGGAAGATCCCCTGAAGAGAATGGCTACCCACTCCAGTATTCTTGCCTGGAGAATTCCATGGACAGAGGAACCTGGCAGGCTACAGTCCATGGGGTTGCAAAAAGTTGGACACGACTGAGCAACTAATACTCACTCACTCACAATATGGTATATATGCCTATTTGAGACCATGTATTAATAGGGTATACTTAAGAAATTATCCCAGTTTCCAGTGCGTTAATTAGGATTACTCAGTAATGATTACATTTGCTGAAAGACTTCAATAAATACAGATATAGGCTTAACTTATTTTACAGAGTGATTTATGATATAAACTTATAATCTCTTACTAGTTTAGAACAGACAGGTTGATTTCACTTAAATGGCCTTACTCTAGTATGAATCCACCACCTTCCAATCTCAAAGAATTTCAGGTAAAACCATGTTATGTCAAATCCCACGGATTCTCTCCGTTCCTTTACAGAACTGGAACTTTATGGTGTCAAGTATCAGGTTATTAAGCAGGCCAGGGCCTACAGCTCACCATTTAAAGTAAATTACACAATAACTTTCAATGACAATGGCATTTATTTCATGGCAGTTGTTATAATTGCAATTTTCTCACCATGCCATTGTTTGGGCTTAAAAGCTCTTAGGAAAAAAAGTTCCAGAGAGCCATTAAATTACAGATTAAATTATACTGTCCTGTGATTATATATGTCTCAGGAATGCAGACAGCTTTTAATTCAAATGACAATCTATGCATGTTCACAAAATGATTTATCACCAAGCCAAAGGGCTCACCAAGGTGACTAATAGATGTAAAGACAGGGGATGAAAGCCTAACGTGTAGGACTCTGTATCAACAAGTTGGCCATTTTGTGATGTATTGTGAAAAGGAAACACTTGGTAATATTCCAAACCTGGTAGAAAGGTAGGCAAATACAGTGCCGGCAGACGGTTACATATTACACAAGGTGCTCAAAACTTTGAGAGTCCAAGTAAGAATTTGTTGAGGAGGAGGAGATTTTTATTTCTCAGGCCTGCAAATGGCATTTGTATTATGAGAAATTTACAAGTTAAAACACAGATGCTCAACAATCCAAATTTCTTCAACGACACACATTTGAGTGTTACAGTCACCAGTGAAAGATGTTGGTGATGACAACACACTGAAGGCCTGCTTTGGATCAGGGACAACACACAGACACACAGACACACACACACACTGCTAATTCTCACAAAATCTCTGCATATTTTTTTGTCTTCTTTTTTCTGTTTATTTATTTTTTTTGGCAATGACATGCAGCTTGCAGGATCTTAGTTCTCTGACCAGGGACTGAACCTGGGCCCTCAGCATTCTGGCAGTGAAAGCATGGAGTCTTAACCACTGGACCACCAGGGAATCCCTACAAGTTTTTATTTTTTAAACAAATAAGAAACTTGGCAGAGAACTGATTTTCCCAAGAGCACACAGCTGGTAAAGAAGCTGAATTGAGATTTAAATCCTGCACCATCTGATTGTAAAACCTCAGCCTCCACTCCTTGCCTGCCTGCACATGTCCATAGACACACATCTGTCCATCTGGGCATGGCTTAGATTTTCAGCTCAAACATAGAGCTTTTAAACTTCTCAAAACCATTAGAACCAGCTGCTTTTCTGTGCCAAAGGGAAGAGGGATGTTGCCCAGGCCCCTTGTCAGCGGACCTTGCTGCAGGTAACTCAGGCCAGGGACCTGGGGAAGCTGTGCTCTTGGTGCCCTGACTGCTGTCTTCCAAAGTCAGTTACATTTCTCAGCTGGTTTCTTGAATTGTGCTGAATTTTGTTCCTAGTCAGACCCAAGGGTTTACCCTGAGTGTGGGCAGGAGCCTGGGCAGGAGACAGGACAGTGTGGTCAGCACTTCCCTCCCACCTCCTCAGCAGGGCACACCCTGGCCCTCTCTTCTGCCCAAAAGGGTGGGAGAGGAAGGCCAGAAGTCAAGTCACCTGCGAGGTGAGCAATGTGCTATGCTGACCTCCTGGCCCCTCAAGAGCAGTCACTTCCCATCCTCGTTCATCACTCTTCTCCCTGGAAAAGTCCCTGAGCTGCAGACTGTGCTCCATCCAGGGGAATACAGTCACCTGTCCCTTTAATAAATTACTGAGCACACATGGTCAGGAGAGCTACCCAGGTAGACCCTGAGGACCCAGAGCAGGGCCCCCTCCCGGGGGGGTGCTTCCTACACCCTCTCTGTCCTTGCCTGTTCCTAGTTTTCATCTCCACTTGGCAACCGATCCTCAGAAGGTGGACTGTGGGACTTACCTGGTGGTCCAGTGGCTAAGAATCTGCCTGCCAATGCAGGGGACACGGGTTCGAGCCCTGATCTGGGATGATTCCACAGGCTGCAGAGCAACTAAGCCCGTGTGCCGTAACTACTGAGCCCACACGCTCTAGGGCCCATGTTCTGCAACAAGAGAAGCCACTGCAATGAGAAGCCTGGGCATCATAACTAGAGAGTAGGCCCCGCTTGCCGCAACTGGAGAAAGCCTGAGTGCAGCAACAGAGACCCAGCACAGCTAAAACACAAACAGGCGCTGAGTCATCTCTGCACACGGCTTTTTGTTCTCTTTAAGCTCACAGGTCACAGGTGTGGCACACCTGACCCAGCTTAATGCCAGCCTGGCAAATAATCCCAAGAAGGTGGGGTGCCTGGAGTGCCATCTTAACCCTTCCTCCTGGGTCTGAGGCTACACGCTGGCTCGGGCCTTTCCACCCACCCGTGAAGGCCTGCTGGCCCCAGACGGCGCCTCTGCCTCCGGGAGTGACACCGTCTTCAGCAGCCCTCCTCTGCTCAGAACCCCCTGGTTCACCCCATCTCCTCCCGGGGAGCTCAAAGAGGGATTGCTGCCATGACCCAGAGTGACTCCTAGCTGGGAAACATTTTCACTCATTCACTCAACAAATATTTACTGAGTGCCGATATCATGCCAGGCACAGTCCTGGACACTTGGTAACATCCAAGCCAAAGGTCTGCCTTAGGAAACCACAGCCTCTGATTTTACTCTCCTCCAAAACATGACTCTGAACATTCCAGAACTGGAAGGGACCATCCAGATCATCTAAACTATTGGCCCCATTTTATAGGTCAGTAAGCTTAGGGGCCAGGTCTTAGGTCTCCCAGGCCAGGATTCTTCGTGCTTCCTCATCTACTGTCTACCCCCTTAGAAAGCAATGCTCTGTGTGACCGTGGGCAAGCCCTTTCTCCTCTCTGGGCCTCAACCTTCTGCCTGACGACTGGAAGAGCTGGATAAGAGAGAGTTCCTGAAGGTCATGTCTAATACTTTCTGGTTCTCACCTCCCAGTGTTTCTAAAAGACTTGAAGTTCACGGTAAGCTTTCTCTTCGGGTGTGCCACGTCTTCCAAACGGTAACATATGCCCTGGGGCAGGGGCCGAGGCCAGTCAGCAGCCCTGGCTCACCCACAGCACTACAGACACAGTGAGGACTCAATTTCTTTTAGCGGATTGAACCAGAAGAGATCACGCTGCTTTATTTTAAACATTAGCCACAGATGAGAAAAAGGCTATTCAGATATAAGGCATCACTACTTAAGCCACTCAAACAACAGTCCTGATCACAGGAATACTGTCATCTCTCATCAAATGAATGACAATACCATTCTATTCTACAGATGTCTATTTTTTTTTTTTATATTTGGGTCCACATATAACTTTAAATATGTGTTTATATTTTGTAGTTAGGATCAAATTCTTAGGAACTCAAGCTTCAAAACCCTAATGACTCCGGGTGTTTTTACTTTCCAGAAGGCGCAACGGTAAAGAATCTGCCTGCCAGTGCAGGAGACGCAAGAGATATGAGTTTGATTCCTGGATTGGGAAGAACCCCTAGAGTAGGAAATGGCAACTCACTCTAGTATTCTTGCCTGGAGAATTCCATGGACAGAGAAGCCTGACAGGCTACAGTCAGAGGGTCGCAAAGAGCTCGACATGGCTGAGCACACACACATGCATGCATGCTTTTGCCCTTCTGTAAGAGGATTAGCGTTTGCTTACTCCTGAGTGTTACACAGGGGAGTCCGTCCCAGACCACACATTCACCAGCCTTTGCCCACGGCTAAGTTACCTAGGCTCTGTGCCTCAGTTTCCCATCTCACAGAATTGCTACGAGAAGTAAATGAGTCATTATGCGTCAAGTCCCTCCTAGTACAATGCTTGGAACGTATGAAGTGCTATGTGCAAGTGTCTGTGAAAGAAATTAACCTGCATATGTGCTAAGAACGCTTACGCGTGGGATACAATTAGGAATAAAAGTATAATTGTAAAATTCATGATATTTAGGAATTTGAAACCATTTCCCTAATGGCTGCAGACTGGAGTTTAGTAATCTGTTGTAAGACGTAATTTCTACATACACATATGTGTTTTCCACAACATGCAAGATTTTCCTTGGCTATGGATGCAGAGAAGAGAGTTAACCACAAGGACAAAAGCAATAGCCATTTCCCAAGCCACAAATAAGGGGTTTGGAGAAGATTTTGGTCTCATGATGCCTTTCGTAGGTTCTTCATCTTAATCTTCAGACAACTTTGGATTTTTCTGCTAATGAAGGAAGTCAATATCAAGGATAAATGGTGACGTGAGGACCAGAATAATCCACGCACTGCTAATCAGCTCGCCAATGACAGAGGGTTCCTGGCGCCATCTAGAGGTCAAAGCTGCTCCTTGCGCATGCTTCATAGAAGCTGTGTAAAATCCCCAACCTTTCTGGCACCAGGGACCAGTTTCATGGAAGACAGTTTTTCCACAGACTGGGGGTGGGGTAGGGGGATGGTGTGGGGATGATTTAAGCACATTACATTTATTGTGTACTTTATTTCTACTATCATTACATCAGCTCCACCTCAGATCACCAGGCATTAAGATTCCGGAGGTTGGGGACCCCTGTTCTAAGGCATGTTAGTTCTCTGGTGAGGAGAACTACTGTGGAAGGATAAGGAAGGCCTATCCCAGGACACCAGGGTGCCTCTTAAAAACCACACACGTCAAGGCTGGGACCACCACAGTCTAACTCCCCTGGCCCCTACCCGCCAGAACGCAAGCCAGCCCTCACCTCCTTCACCGATCACTGGGCTGCAGGTCAAACTGGAAGCTGCCCTTCCCTTGCCTAGTTATCCCAGGAAGTCAAGGCCTGAAACCTGACTGGGAACTGGCCCATCACCCACTCACCGCAGCTGCCGGCAGTAAAGCCAAGCCAACCACCAGCCACTTATGAGCCTGGGCGTGGGGTGGGGGTGGGGCCCATAGAAGCAGCACCCGGGCGCCTTCACTCACCACACAGTCGTCGATGATTTCTGAGAGCCGTGTCCGGTGTTTCCTCCCCAACCTCATGATTTTTTTCCACGTGTAATAGTACTCCACACATTGAGCCACCGTCTTGGACTTCACCTGTTGGGAAAACCATCTCAAGATCAGCTCTAGCAGTGGGCAGGGTGCAAGGCAGCCAGTTTTCATGCAATTTTAAGTTTGGAATAGGTAGGAAGTTTACGTAGTTAAATAAAAACATGTACATGGTGGAAAATCTCCTCCCTAGCCCTGTTCTCCAGCCATCCATTCATCCGTTCCCTCCCCACCCATGCAACTCAGCTAGCCTCTCTTGTTCATATCTTGGGGGATGTTCCAGAATTTCTCTACATGTATACCAACAACAAAAAGATACATTCCTCCCCACCATTTTGCCTCACACAAGGTAGTACACTATATGTACTGTTCGGCATCTTGACTTTTTCACAAGAGGGCTTGGAGATTTTTTTTCACAACCATCCATAGCAAGCTCCCTCCCATTTTTTAACCCACGAGAGCAGCATGCTTTTTCAAATGCTTGAATGAGTTTGGCTCTCCGAGTTGCTGACCTTCAAAATCTATTTATGAAAAATGTTCCTTAGTAATCGAACAGGAATATAAGGCAAAAGTTATGATGACAAGAGCTTAGTGTTTGCAGAAAACAAGTCTTGTCCTGTTCTCCCCCAAAGGGGCAAAGGTAAATGTGTTTTAAAGAGAAAAAAATTCCTTTGTTTAGTTCACAGTTCTCTAAGCTCAAAGTGGGGTTCAATAATGTGAGTTTTCTGGAGGCAGACTGGCTGTCCACCCACACAGTGAAGAGTGAAAAGGGCACCTTCCAGACATCTGGTCTCCTCAAAGTTGTCCCCTTCACACAGACCTGATATAGTGAATTTCTACATTAGAGTTGCCCAGGGAGGGAAGATAAGTGTCCCAGAGAATCCTGGTTTAAAATCCTGAATCACCTGGTGAGCATGTCATGTGAATCCGTCATCACTCAACAAGGTGTGGGACCTTTAAGAAACAATAAAACCTAGGACAGGAGGGGGTGACTCAGGACAGACGGGAGCTGCTGGAACACAAGGCAGCAGAGTGCGGTGGCCTCCAAGACAGAGTAAGGTGGGTGCGAACTCAGATCTGAAGATGGAGGCAAGTCGGAGAAAAACTCCACCTATTTCTGATTCTCACTCACTCAAGGCCCAGGTTTAAGGACAGGAGACAGGAACCCAGGACAACACTGAGGCCCAGCCCAGAGCCAGCAGTAGTTGTCCTCTGAGACCCTGTTCTACTTGGACCTGAGCATTTTCGTGATCTTAATAACTCAGTATGGTTCTATCATTCACTGGTTGGCTAAAACACTCTGAATCACTGTAACTTTTAGCCTAAACCACCCCTCAGCCAATTAAGGCCTATTACATTTATTATGTGCTGGACAAAATGCTATTTCATCTTGGTGACAGAACTCTCTTTTGCTGCCAGATGCTGTATATGTAACATTTTATTGCTATTATTACTGTCCTTATGATCAGGGGACCCACAGCAGAAACTCTGCTACCAGCTAGGGGCAGGGCTCATATTCTCCCTTCTCTGGATCCCCCCTCCTCCCAACATATTCTGTCAGAAACATGATAGATCTGTCAAACACACATGAAATAAATTATGTAAACTGAACCAGAAGCCCCAAGCTTATTTTATTCTGATAGAAATTATAAATCACGCATCTTTATTAAGATAAAAATACCCCTCCCCACCACTGCCGCATCCAAATAATCTATGCCCTCCTCCCTCCACCTCCTCAACACCTGGGCCCCACCATCCATAACAAATACCATCCTTTATCAACAAAAGAGGGAAGACATTGTTTTGGTGACAGTCTTAAACCATCAATAAAATAATTCTATATGTATCTTTAGGTGCGCAGCTTCCCAAATTTGGTTTCAAGAAAGCAGTGGGAAAAAGCATGCTTACCATCTTCTGTACAAAAATAAAGTCTTTGCTGTAAGTGGCTAGTGCTTTATTAAACAGTTTTCTTTCTAGGGAGGTCCACTTGTCCGAACCTACAACAAAACACAAACTTCATAAAAAAACAGCCCAGTTCTTCCCACTTGTAGTTGCTGGTTCACTTAGTGAAGTTACAAACTACAAGTGTTCAGTGTGTGACACGTAAATACCCACACTACACTTCTTTCTGAACAAAAAGCCAGTGCAGTGTAATGGTTAACAACCCTGCCACCTGAGTTCAAATCTTAGCCGTGGCCCTGACCTTGGCAAGTTACTAAACCTAAGACTTGGTTTCTTTACCTATGAATGGGAATAATTCTGAGTTTCTCCACCTCTTAGAGGACTTTTGTGAAGGTTCAGGAAGGTAACTCCCTAAAACTGTCTCTTAGTAACTGGAAAATCGTGAGCACTCAGCAGATTTTAGCTAGTTTTAATATAATTAGGGAGGGCAAGCATTCATGTAGTAAGTGCTCCTTGTGCGTGCTGGACTCAACAGTCTAGTGGGGAGAAAATCAGGAGGCAGTGCATTCAAGGGGATGACTGCAAGGATGAGGGCAGGGTTGGGTGCCAGTGGGGCACAAAGGAGGAACACCAGACTCAGAGAAGCTGGGAAGGCTTCCAGGAAGAGAAAACACCTGAGTAGGGTTTAAAAAGACACAGAAGCAAGTCAGGCAAGGAGATGGAAGGACTTCCCTGGTCGCCCAGTGGCTAAGGCCCTGCGCTCCACAATCAGGGAGCCTGGGTTCAATCTCTGGTCGGGGAACTAGATCCCACATACCACAGCTAAAGATCCCACATGCCACAACTAAGACTTGGTGCAGCCAAATAAAAAATAAAATAAATAAATGTTTAAAAAGGAAGGAGATGGATGGGAATTCTGGGGAGAGGAAGTGGCGAGTGCATGGTCAGAGCCAAGTAGTGAGAGGATACATTTCACTCACTTATTCGGCAGATATTTATTAGATATTTAGATCTCTGGGTGGAGAGGATCTCCTGGAGTAGGAAATGTCAACCCACTCCAGTATTCTTGCCTTGAAAATTCCACGGTCAGAGAAGCCTGGTGGGCTACAGTCCAGGGTCGCAAAGAACAGGACACAGCTCAGCAACTGAGCACACACACATGCAAGACACTAGGGGGGAAAAAAAGCTAATACTTATAAGTGCTTACTATATGCCAGGTTCTAAGACCCTGAAAGACACTAGTCATTTGCTTCTACAGACAGCCCTTTAAAATTGGTATTACTCCTACCCATTTTACAGATGAGGAAATGGAGGTGTTCAAGGAACAAGCAGCAATCTGGTATGGCTCAGCTACAGGGTTCCAGCAGAGGGAAGGCAGATGAGGCTGGGAGGTAAGAGGGACTGGTTCCTGACAAACCTGCAGACCAATGAGGAAGAGGCCCAGATGTGTCAGGCTGGAGCACCTGCCTCATGGCTGAGCTTGACATTCATGTCAAAGTAGGATATGCAGATAATCACAGAGAATGGTCCTGGTCTGTTTCCAAGGCAAGTCCTATTTCTGTGGGCTGCAGAGAAGGCTCAATTTCTGTGGCTGGTTAGCAGAAAACTCAGCCTCATTCTAATTTTTTGAATTCCCCATATCTCTGATTCTTTGGATGGTATATGCCTGGGCCTTTGACAGGCTTCTACTTTTCAAAGCTGTAATCTCCAAACCATAGTATTTTTCCTTCCAACTAGGACAAGCCCAGATTTCCATTTTGCTATGGTTCACTGAGGGGCTGAAGTACAGAAAACCTGAATTGCTTCTTCCCTCAAAAGATTTGGTCTGAATCAGTTGATTAGGTGAAACCATGCCTGGCAGGCAAGCAGGAGGTGAAGATCCTAGGATCCTTGAGAAAATATGATGATGATGTCATCATAGATGACATGGGTGATGTCAGCTCAGATTTCTGAAATAAACACCTTCTCCGTGGGACTCCCTGAGGGGTCCTTAAGCCAAGAGCTCTGGCTCCAGTATAGAATACGCTCTCCACGTCGGAGCTGGTCCAGGTCTCTAAAAATCACCACCTGACTCCTTTGGTTTGCAAATTTCTCTAAAAGAAAAGCAGCTTTCTGATTAATCCTCAGCAGAAGGAAGCATCTCCCACTGGTTCTAGAGACCAGGACATTTCTGGTCGTGCAAACCATTGTGAAAGGAAGGAGAAGTAGGGCCAGGGCTCTGGTGAAATTCTGCTAGAGTGGATGTGAGCAGAGGAGGTTGGTGGGATTTCAGGCTCTGGAGTATTTTCATCACCATTCCTTAAAATTCTTCCAACATTCAAGAACTTGGGCTCCTGGCTCCCATCTGCTCCCCTTGTCCAGAGGCAGAGACAGAAAGAGTGAAACAGAAAGAATGGAGCAACAATTGAATGACCACAGAGAAGTCACGGTTCCTTTTAGGTACCCATCAAAATAGTAAAGAGAGATCATAGAGGCAATGGTGTAAATGGAACAAGACAGGGACGTCACACCAGTCGAGTCCCTCCACAGGCGTATAAGGATAGTTTTGTTCTGCTCTGATGCAGGTCCAGTCTGTGCAGCTCCAGGTTGCATCTCAGTTAGGAAGTTAGGGAACACTTTTTTTTTTTTTTTTTTTTTGCTGTGCTGAGCCTGTTGCTGCGCATAGACTTTCTCTAGTTTCGGTGTATAGGCTTCTCATTACAGTAGCTTCTTCTTGTTGTGGAATGCAGGCTCTAGGGCTTGCAGGCTCAGTAGCTGTGCACAGCCTTAGTTGCCCAGAGGCAAGTGGAATCTTCCTGGACCAGGGATCAAACCCATGTCCCCTGTATTGGCAGGCGGATTCTTAACCACTGGGCCACCAGGGATGTTGGTTAGGGGACATTTTGCTGACAATACCCCTCCCAATGAGATGAGGAAGAATCCTTTCCACCCTCAGCCAGACCCTATGTTTCCCTAGTCAAAGTGCAGCTTTAAACCCTCATGAGACACTCAAGGGCCATGTGGCCTACTCAGGTCAGCACCCAGCCTCAACCCACCCCACACCAAGCTCATCACTGGATTACTGCCCAAACCACAGTGTGAAGTCCCCAGGTCTGTCTACTTGAAAGATGTCCCTTCATGTTCCCAGATGGCTTGCCAGTCGTAACCCCACAAAGGGAAGTCACTTCCTGGACCATCTGTTATGGGGGACCCTCAAGCCTCCTAGGGGAAGGAGGCCTGCTCCCCATCAACTCTCTGGTGGTTTGAGTTTTTTTAAAAAAATAACTTCTCTAGTTGCAATGAGCAGAGGCCACTTTCTAGTTGCGGCATGTGGGCTTCTCATTGCGGAGTACGGCCTCTAGGGCTAGCAGGCTTCAGTACTTGTGGCTTGCAGGCTCGAGAGCACAGGCTCAGTAGTTGAGGTGCATGTGCTTAGCTACTCCTCACCATGTGGAATCTTCCCGGACCAGGGATCGAACTCATGTCTCCTGCATCTTCACCACTGAGCCAGCAAGGAACCCCTTCTCTGTCGGCTTTTAGGGCTGCTGCTCTGTGATGGGGTCTCCAGTCTTCCTGATCCCGGGGTGTGCACTCCACACCACCAGTGTTCGATTGAAGTGGGCTGCACCCTCTAGCTTTCCTCTCTGTGCTGGCCCGAACCCTGATGGCCAGGGCGGGGAGCATGTGCTCAGAAGGTGAGAGATGGCTCCTCTACTCAGCCCTAGGGTCCATGGTTTAGCACACAGGGCTGTGCTGTGCGTGCGTGTCTGTCCGACAGGGGTGTCCATGAACTGAGAGACAGAGGGGGGGCCAGACAAGCCCATCCATTTTCACATTCACAGTAGCAGGTTCTTTACCGCACCCTGATCACAGATCACCCATGGGGCCAAGACTCTACTCCAGGTCTCTTGGGCTGAATTCTCAGGCCAAAGCCTGGTGTATAGACATAATATCTGAATGTGCTCACCCCAAATAATGAGGTCACTGTGCTGTGATTAAAAAGGGGCAACTTTAATCAGGAGACGGTATGCTATGAACCTGGTTCTGCCACTTAACTCGTGCAAATTTACTTCTTTGAGCCTCAGTTTCCTCTCTTGTGATTTGGGGATCATGGTAGTCATGCAGTGCCTAACAGCGTCTGGTCCTAAGGAGGGGCACAGTGAACGTCTCAGATCTGGCCACTTGGACAGAAGATTCCAAATAAGTTTGCCGCCGTGGAAAACATGCTGTCCATGCTGACGTCCATGTCAGTGGCACTCATGAAACCCACTGGTCCCTGCCAGTGTTCCCTGTTGTGTGTGCACACTCACAGTGTTACTCCAGGCTGCTTGGCACGTGCACAGTCTTCCTTTCCCTGCCTCAAAATCCTCCTGTAATCTGTCGAGGTAAGGTACAGCGTCGCTCCTCCTGGAGACTGTACGGCAGGAGCGTTCTCCCCATTCCAGGACAAGGTGGTTTTTTTTGTTTTAAGCCAGCTCTTCTTGGATTCTGTTTCTTGGACAAAGTCCAGGATAAAAATGCAAAAACCAAGGCAGGGGGCTGCCCCAACTTCTCGCTTGGCCACCCTCCCTGAGATCATTGCTGTCCACTCATCACGTCCCTAGGGTCAGTGGGCTGACACCCTCCCCCTCCCCATCCCACACTCATTCATTCTCCCTGGGGATTCCTGGCTAGTGGGCTATTATCAGCAGGGGTCCCTAATAAGACGATTAAGCCTAATTACAAAGAGCCTAATTAACAGGAGGAAACTGGTGCTGGAACAGAATCCAGAGGAGAAATGTTCTGAGCTTCGGTTGCTGGGAAACAGGCTCTGGATGGTGGTGAAATTTGGGGCAATCTATAGCAAACGCAGGCAATTAAAGAGAGACCTGGAGGGGTGAGAGAAAGTTTGGGCACAGTGTCTTTTAAAGAGGGCCTTTCTGTCTTCCTTTCAATCTTTTAAAAACTGTTATTGATGCTGTCATAGAGATTACATAAGAAAGACATGTTCATTGCAGAAAAAGGAAGACTTGTTTTTATACCAGATCTTCATTTTGTGAAAGATTTTCCATGATGGGTGAAGGCTGAGTAATTTTTTTAGGGGTGCATGTGAACTGGGTGATACCAAAGTTCCCTCCAGAGGCAAAAGGCAGGAAGGCCTTGGTCTGAATCCAGAACCTGAGCTTGTCCACTAACCTCTCCAAGCGCTGTGTCAGGCCAAACAGCAAAGTGCATAGTAACTTGGTTCCTACCTTTTGCGGGAGTCAGTCTCCAGCTAGCAACATGGGCTAAGAATGCCCGCGAGGTGACTTCACAGCTGTGCTTCTTTCAAAGTATTCTCTGGAGAATGTAATTCTGTCTCCCCACCAAACTGGGGCAACTTCCAAGACATAGATCAGCCTCCCTCGACTGAATGGGTATTTCCTCCAGGTCTCTCCCATTTTTGGAGTCAGGTCAAGGTTCAGGACCCCGTGAGCGCTTGGGCTGTGGGGGAGCCCATACGAGCCTCTGCTGAACTCTTGCCAAGAGTCCCAGGGCCAGCTCTGACTCCCCTCCACTCTGTGCCCATCTGCAGGAATGACCGGCTCAGCGGAAAAACCAAGGATGCTGGAAGTCCTCTAATCACAGCCAGGCATCCTCGCCCCCTTGACATCCCCATGCTCAAGCCTTCTCCACCCAATTCAGCTGCTGACTGGGAGCCACTGCAAACAACAGCTGCCCACACATGGGTGGAGGGTGTGGAGAGAAAGCTGGATCAGGCGCTTTGGTGTTAGTTTGAAAGCCCTGAAGGCCACGGCAACAGCACCACCCTCTGAGGATCTTAACAGAGCTCCTCCGGGTTTGCCGAGCAGCCCCAGATCTGTGTGAGCTGCCCACCCACACGGGCGTCTCTTCTGGGCCCCAGAACTGGCCGTTCTTCCCTCTTCTTTCTGAACTGCTTGGGCTGGGATGGGGTGGAAGGACAGTCAGGAGTAAAGTCAGGGAAGTGATTTTCAAGGGCCCCTGTCTCTGTCTCCCCCAAAATTTAGTCTCCCCCCAAAGTCTTTCTACCTTCCCTCCAGGGCACAAGCCAGGGAGGTCTGACCTCTCTCTCTAGACAACTGGGAGTCTGGAGTTCAACCCTTCCAGTCTTGTCCGATTCTCTGCGACCCCATGGACTGTATAGCCTCCAGGCAAGAATACTGGAGTGGGTTGCCATTTCCTCCTCCAGGGGATCTTCCCAATCCAGGGATTGAACTCGCGTCTCCTGTGTCTCCTGCTTGGCGGGCAGATTCTTTACCACTGAGTCACCTGGGAACCAAAGTTTTTAGTCCTGTTTCAATGTTTTTGTTTTGTTGAGGGTGGGGGTAGTTTCCAGTCCATAGTTTTCCCTTCTTTTTCATGTCATGACACACATTAAAAAAAAAAAACAAACCACAATTGTTGCTTGGCATGCTGGAAAGAACCTGAGGGGACTTAGGTTCCAGACAAGGTTGCTCATTGTTGGAGCTGACCTGCCCCAAGGCGCCGGCCACCCCAGTCACCCGGGGGCTGAGGGCAGCCGCGGCAGATGGTTGGGAAGTCTCACCCACTAAGCAAAGAAGCTTGACACAGGCTCCAGGAGGCTGGATGGCCTGTCAGGGTTTAATGGGCAGCAGATGATGCTAGGAATTAAGAGAGGATTGAATTGTTTCCACAGCAGATTAGGGAGAACTCCCACATCTTCTAGCCACACTCAGGGAAGACACGGAGCAGGAAATGATGGAGACAATATTAAGAAACTGGCTCCTTGAGGCAGACAGTGGAGGTGGGGAGTGGGAGCTCTCTGAGAGTACCATGGAACCTGCAGAACGGCACTCCTCGAAGGCCACATCTGACCACCTGGACCGAGGCCTGGAAAGGCACCACTGGGTCCCCAAGGCCACTGAAGTAGTCAGCACCTACCGTACAGGGTCCCCCCAGGCACCAGAGACACCTTCAAACGAACACCACCAAGGGGCACTGGAGGATCCAGCCCTCTCTGAAACAGAGAACCCGGGCGGGCTGGCGGAGATGCCAGAATAGACTAGGCTACCGGTTAATGGAAATACAGACGCTGACTTCACTTGTCACCACGGGCTCCCCAACCTGTTTCCTTGTCTTTTCACCATTCTCACCACACTCAACTCCCTAAAGTGTGTTCTCCTTTCCTCTTATTGGTGATGCCATCAGTAATCCACCCGCTTCTAAGACACTGTATGTGCATGTGCATGTGTGTATCTATGTGTACATGTATATGTAAGTGTGTATGTTCGTGTGTGTGCTCAATCGTGTTCGACTCTTTGCAACCCCATGGACGGTAGCCCACCAGGCCCCTCTGTCCATGGAATTCTCCAGGAAAAAACACTGCAGGGGGCTGCCATTTCCTATTCCAGGCGATCTTCCTGACCTAGGGATCGAACCCAAGTCTCTTGTGCCTGCATTGGCAGGTAGATTCTTTACCACTGGCACCACCTGGGAAGTCCCATGTGTATACATATAGGTACGTGTATACGTGTGCATGTACATGTCTTTCTCCTACCATTCGTGTGACCTGTTTAATAACTGCCTCCTCCTCAGGCTCCCAACTGCACAGGGCAGGACTGTGTCAAAATCTGTCACTGTCACTTCCTCATCTTAAATTGTTCAATAAATGAATAATAATGGCTACTAGAATGTGCCAGGCATGAGGCTCCATATACTGTCTCTAGTCTTCACAAAATGCCACAAGGGATGGAATGTGAGCCCCACTTTATAGGTGAGGAAACCAAAGCCGCAGAGGGCCACGGGGAGCAGGCAAGATTGGATTCTAAAGCCGAGAGGCCGCTGTGAGTTGTTGCCTCTGCGCTCCACCCTCTGGGGCTCTCTCCCGCTGCCACACGCGGGGCCCCTGTCCGCTGCTGCCCAGCTCTTAGCACACCCAGGAAGAGAGACAGACAGACAAATGCCCAACAGCGACCAATCGGTGGACACAGCTGCCCCACTGGCTATGCCCCAGAGGCCCCAGGAAAACAAATGGCACTGAGGACAGAACAGGTGCTCTCTGTTAGTAAAAGGGGACACAAGCAACATGCAAACAGTGAGCCCCGGCAGGGCTCCTGGCACCTACCGGCATAGTGGTAATTTGCTAAAGGATGACATTTTAACCTGACTGGTTTCCGCAACAGCAGCATTTCCAGAGCAGCCTGCAGACCCACGGGAGACAAAAGGCAAGAGTCATTCATGGGGTTGTGTATCCTTGGAAGACCAACTATCCCACAAGGAAAAGGAGCCAGCATGGCAGGGCCCGAGGTGGGGGTGCTGGAAGGAAAACAAGGGGAGACTCCCCTATTCAGGGTCCCCCTTCCAGTCAGCACCCAACAGGACTTATTATTCTAATACCTCCCCCGCCCATGCCTGTAGTCAGCTAGTCATGTCACAGAAACACAGGTGGCAGCCCAAACGCCACTCCTTCCTTGGTGACGGCCCGGGCTTCAGAGATACGGTGGGGCCTCCTATGAATGGAGGCTGAATCTCTGGGGAAGGGTTCTGAGGAAATGAGTGGGTGACTTGGAACTGTTTTAGCAGAAAAAAAAAATTACATGTTTCATTACAACTGAACACAAACAGCTGTATTAGTAATAACTGTACTGCACACTGTCCTTCCAGGGAGCCTCGCAAAATAGCCTATTCAAATCTGCCTCCTTCAGCCTTGTTGGGGTTCTTTAAAAATGGCACAAATGTCGGGCCTGGTGCACTGGGAAGACCCAGAGGGATCGGGTGAAGAGGGAGGTGGGAGGGGGGACCGGGATGAGGAATACATGTAAATCCATGGCAAATTCATTTCAATGTATGACAAAAACCACTGCAATGATGTAAAGTAATTAGCCTCCAACTAATAAAAATAAATGGAAAAAATAAAAAATAAAAATGGCACAAATGGAGTTGAGTAGTGGATGGTTTAGGGGCAGAGCAAGGCCCGGAATCTTGCTACTCCAAGTGTGGTCCATGGGCGAGCAGCCCAAGCATCCTCTGGGAGCAGGTTAGAAATGTAGCACCTCGGACCCCAACCTCCTAAACTGCTGCATTTTAACAATCCTCTCCAGGGGATTCGTGTGCATGTTAGAAGTTTGAGAAGCACCGCTCTGCAGCACTGATCTTAAAAGGTCAAGGGGAGTTTTCCACTGCTCTAGAGAATCTCTGAAGGGTATCAATAATCTTGTGAGAAGGTAGTACTGGGACATTTGTTTGCTTATACATTTTCATAAACTTACAAAGCAGGAGGCTAGCTCTGGTATAAGAATCATGTATTAACTGAAGGGAAAGCTGAAGCTAGTGATGCAGTGCTCCAGCTAGGGGTCCCGGTTGAGCAGGCAAATGATCAGCTCTGATTCTGGGAGAAGAGTCCCAACATTCTGGCCTAGGGATGCCAGAAACTGTGTCAAAAACGGAATAATGACACGAGATGGTGTGCAGCAAATATCTCCCTTTGGTTAGGGCAGCAAATGGTTCTATGGACATCAAACTCTGATTTCCATGGTAGGGAAGAATGAAGAGCAGAGAATGACAGGCTTTTTTTAGGCCAAGTTTTGCTTTGGGAAGGCCTTCTACCTCCACCATTGCAGACCTGTTTCCTCATGTGAATTACGATTGCCGAAAAGAAATTCGAATTTCCCAAGACAGATGTTCAAATCATTATCACTGAGGAACAGATGTGTACACAGAAGTTCAACTGGAGGTTTTCTTGTAGGCTTTCAAATCCTGACCTACTCACTGAGATAAGGAATGTGGAAGGATATACTGACTGGTCATCATCTTATGAGTTGGTTACATGGGACGTGAGACAACACAGGAACTTGGGGAAATACTTTTCAGAATTTCCACATGAAGAGTATAAACTGGGAAGCCTCCTTTTCAAGGTTCCTTACCATCACATCACCTTTGGCCTCAAAGAGAGAGTGCAAAGCAAATTCAGAATTGGTCCCTCCACCTGGCAACGCACTTGAACAGCATAAATTCAGGAGATTCTCCACTGTTGGGAACAAAGACAAGGCACTGCATCAGAGAGAGCTCAGTGTCACAGAATGATCCTAGAGCCAGAGGTCCCCGGGAGAAATCCAGCCCTTCCTGCCCAGTTCTTCCCAGGCTGTCAATACCTCTTTGCTGGAGGTCGTGGTTTTCCAGCTCTGGCCAGGGCTTCCATACGAGTGTGGCCCTGTGTGTGTCCTTGGCCAGGGCAGAGACATCCTGGAGTTCTGGGATTTCCGCTTGGAATCGCAAGCCAATGTTGATGCGTCTTTAAATCACAAGAAGAAAAACAGGAGTGTGGTCTTCAATTTGAGACCAAAGGTAACTGTCAGAGACTCAAAAATGAAGGAAACCAGTTCCTTCTGCAAGAAGAATGCAGGGACATTTCCTCGCAGTGTGATCTGAAGATTCCAGGCATGACTTTTTCACTTGGATAAAGAACAGCTTGAAGATTGGGGAGAGATGCAACAGGAAGCAAGGGAGAAGCCTGGCTGGGGATTCTTAGCTCCCTAGAGCTAGGGAGGGGCTTCCCTGTGGCTCAGCTAGTAAAGAATTCACCTGCAATGCAGGAGACCTGGGTTCGATCCCTGGGTTGGAAAGATCCCCTGGAGAAGGGAAAGGCTACCCACTCCAGTATTCTGGCCTGGAGATTTCCATGGACTATACAGTCCATGGGGTCACAAAGAGTCGGACACCACTGAGCAACTTTCACTTTCCCAGCTGGAAGAGGGAAGGTGCTAATGCCAACGGGACAGCTGTCCAGAGGATGGCCAAAGGTACCACTTGACCCAATGGAACAAATACAAAGTACTTATTTTATTTTTATCCTTTCAGGCCACTTTCACATAAACGATCCCATCTGAACCCCACAAAGGCCTGTGAGGTAAGCAAATCAGTGATAAGTATTCCTACTTAATAGATGAGTTAACTAAACTCTACAAAGGTTAACTTGATCAAGATCAAATAATAAAATGGTGCTGGAACCAGGTTTCCTGATTCCTGACTCAATCTACTCACCACTCTACCATCTGGCCTCTTTTGCATTTATCCATGAAGAGAAAAAAAAAATTTTTTTTTTCTTTTCAATTATACCCTCCAATTCAAATATTCAACAAGCCCATTTGGAGGCCCAGCCAAGAATCTTAGGGAGGGGGTAAAGAAGCAGGGTGCTGGGTGGAACCTCCTAGGGAGCTAGGTACCCTGAGAGAGATGTCACTGCAGGCGTGAAGGCCTGTGGCCCCCAACTAAACTGGCTCATGGAGCTGGAGATGGGGACACTAAGGTTCTCCAAATACGAGGCTCCACATTTTTAAGGCCTTCAGTCTGTAGAAAAGGCCTTGAAATACTGGAAATTATAGGGTAACCATCATACTTGAGAAATACCATGATCCTACAATTTCCACAACTTCTTGCCCAATGGCCACTCGGTCCCCAGAAGTACTAGCTATACTTCTTAAAGCTCCCCCTCCCTTTTCTAGGTTGAGGCTTCTGTTCTAAAGAATAATTGGCTCTTCCTTACGGTTCGACATCAACAGTCTGCTCTCCAGGCCCCGGGGTGACCGTCAGGTTGCTGCCATCGATGCTGTCTGAAGCACAAAAGTCAGAGGTCACTGGTCAGCAGAGAAGGTACAGAAGAAACTAAATGAAACAAGCAGTTACCTGAACAGTCATGGTGGGGCCCTTCTCCTACCCAAACCATGCGGGAGTTACCCCAGCAGTCTCTGAGGAGTTGGAGTGCGGCAACGTGGCTTAGGGTTTCCCCATTTCTTAACACCTGGCTTCCCTGGTGGCTCACAGGGTAAAGAATCTGCCTGCAACGCAGGAGGCCTGGGTTTGATCCCTGGGTTGGACGATTCCCTGCAGAAGGGAATGGCTACCCACTCCAGTATTCTTGCCTGGAGAATCTCATGGACAGAAGAGCCTGGCAGACCACAGTCCATGAGGTCACGGCACAGTCAGACACAACTGAAGCAACTTAGCAGGCACACACACACACTTCTCAGAGTAAGGGGAGGTCAGCTATCTCTCTGGTCTACTACTCTTTTCTCTTTTAAGTTTTTTTTTTTTTGTCTGCACTGTGCAACTTTCAGGATCCCAGTCCCCGGGCCAGGAGTCACACTTGAGCCCTTGGCAAGTGAAAGCCCCAGGAGTCCCAACCAATGCACTGCCAGGGAATTCCCCTATTAAGCTTTCTTATTCTATGACATTCCTCTTGCTCTAGAAAGAGACCCTGCTGCAGGCCTTGATCTTTACACCGTGTGCTAAAATGTGGAGGTGTGGTCTTGCAGCTAATCCTATTTGTACGTGTACTTAGCACAGTTACTTTGGGTGTCTTAACACGATTCTCCACGGCGCACTTCAACTGTTTTTTTTTTTTTTTCCTCTCTCATCCCAGAGAAACCCTAATGAGCTTTATGCGTTGGTCTTCTTGGCATGACTGTGATTCCCTTGAGGGTAAGTATTTTGAGAATTCCTAGCACGCAGCACACGGTCTGAGGCACCTCAGAGGTCTGTGGGCCACCTCAGAGGTCTGCGAGGTGAATGAGACAAGGACAGAACGGGAGGCTTCTCAGGGCAGCAGCACCCACAGCCGGGGTGCCCCCCCACCCCCCGGCCCCCGGGGTGGCGGCGGCGGGGTCGGGGGGCGACTCACTGGAGCGGCAGAGCAGCACGCGCGGCGTGGGCGTCAGGGGCGTCAGGGGCAGCTGCGGGTGGGCGCCGGGGCCGTGGCCGGCGAGGAGCACGTTGCTGAAGAGCCCCGAGCCCTGGCGCACCGGGCTGAGCATGGGCGGGGGCGTGTAGGGGGGCAGCTCGTGGGCGGGGTCCAGGAGCAGGTGGTCGCCCAGCACCCGCGGGGAGCGCAGCTGGCTCTGGTACAGGGTGGCGCCCGAGTGCGGGGCGGCGAGGCTGGGCGTGTAGGAGGGCGGTGGCGGGATGAAGAGCGGCTCCGGCCGGTGCCGGAACTTCTTCTTCTCCGATGGCGCGCTCCTGAGGGCTTCCTCGGCTTTGGCCGCGCCTGGCTGGTGCTTCTTGGGAACTTCCTACGACGGGAAGACGATCCGATTGAAATACTGGGGCTTTTCCCTCAGGCCCTTGCCACAGGTTGAGGGGAGGGGGAAATCTGCGTTCTAACGGGAACACGCCCCCCCACCCCGCCCCGGTCTGACCCCAGCGTTCTCTGCCTTGAGAAACGGTCACAGCCATCTCCAACAAGGCGAGATCTGGTGGCTTGGTTAAGGGAGCCGACTTTGGTTTGGGAGGAAATCCCTCATGTCTGGAGACGGATTGCGGGGGGGTGGGGGTGGTAGGAACAGTGGGTGGGCAAGAAAAAATAAGTTCACATTCTTTACTGCTTATCACCGCATTCCCATCTGCTGAGTGGACTCCAGCTGAGTGGGCCCTTTAATTCCCCACGGGCTCCGCAGGGACGGACCTCGGGGACAGATAACACATGTTCTAAGAAGGGGACAGAATCGTCTATTCAGGGAAGCTGGCAGAGGCTGTGGGGCAGGAAGACGGGGGGTCAGGCCTCAGCCAAGGCTCCCAGGGCCAGTGACCCACACACTGGGCTCCCCCTTGGAGGTAACTGTCAGGGTGGAGGAGAGCTGCCAGCTGGGATCTCTGAGGCCCCCCTCTCATGTGCTCTCCCAGAAGTGGATCCGGTGACCCTTCCCCCTCACCACCCTTCACTGTTGCCCCCAACACTGGTGGCTCTCCTCTGTGGCAAACCCTTCTCCTAGGTTGGTTTCCTGTCAGCGGGATTAGTTTATTTTATTCCAGCAGAACCAAGCATCTTCTGGAAGGAAGATTTGCCACATGGAAACAGATATACTAATAAGTAAACATATGCATGGAAGGAGATAAAGCAAGGCATGCCAAAGCCAAACACAAACAGACTTGGTGTGTGCCAGCATCAGCTCAGAAAACCCAGAGCTGGGTGAGGCCGGAGAGACAGTGGTGTGGTTGGAGGGGTGGGGGCAGGGGTGCAGAGGGGATACCTGCAGGGAAGTTCTGGGCAGTCTGTGGTCCCCTCCCAGGCCCTGCAGGCCAGTGCCTGCCACAGTTGTGGTCCCTGGCAATCCTGGTATCCACCTTGGTGCCTCAGTAGGAGGCAGCAGGGGGTGATGGGAAGGGTTGGCCATGGTCATGTGACCTGCCCCAGTCACCCCTCAGCTCTGGGCTCCTCTCCCTCTAACTAACCCTGCTGAAGACAGTTCTGCTGCCTTCAGCACTTCAGGCCGCCCCTCCTTGATTCCCCCTTAGTTTCTGGGGTGCCATCCCAGCCCCTAACAGGGGAGTTTAGGGAAGCAGAGAGGTGGGAAAAGAAGGGGCAGAGAGGTTCATCCCCAGGGCCACAGAGCCTGCTTCCTTTCCCTACCAGAGGGCTCCTTGCTGCCTGAGGCTGAGATGGAGAGAGGGCTGAGGAATGGGGAAAGGATGCCTGTGTCCCCCCAACTAGGGGAGCAATCCTGATGCTTTACACCCAGTTCCTGGGTGACTGATGAGGTCAACTGAGGACCCTGCATGTCTTCAACACTGCACCGGAATCCAGACCTCTGACCACAGACAGGGCCAGAGGTCCCTTTGTGTCCCTCTCTCCTTGAGCCTCTGGTTCAGTGACAACAGCTCTGAATCGGAACTTTCTAATCCTCCAGGCAAGGCTCTGAGACTGTGGGCCAGGGAAGGCCCCCAGAAGGTCAGACCTGGATATCACCTGGGAGGAAGCATTTACAGAGTTCCAGCCAAGGAGGGCCAAGCGCTGAGAGGTTTTAAAAGCTCCCCAGAGAGGTGACAGCCACTGAGGAGGCCTACTCCCTTCCCCCTGAGGTCATGGGAGAAACCATGGTTCTGAGAAGGGAAGGGTCTCAGTTGTCTGCACCCCAACTGGCTAGGAGCATAGTGGGAATTAAAACCCAGGGCTCCTCCCTGCACATTTTCATCTCTTAATATATTGTCAGGACCTTGCTCACATGTACTCAGTCCTACTTCATGATTCGGCTTATCTCCTCACAGTATCTTTCTCACCCTTCCCACAAAACCAAGTTCATCTCTGCCTTCAAAACTCTGTCTAGAACTCTCCTCATGATGGTCTTCTAACACCAAATGTCCCTTGCCTCGTCTTAGTCCCTAACGACCTTAGTTCCTGGGGTATATTCCCCACCAGCCCCATGCAGAACAGTGCTGAGGGCTTTGGTGTCTCTGTTTTGAGTTGGGGCAGACCTGTTGCCTGGAGCTCTGACCCTTGTGTCACTAAAAACCTGACTTTCTCCAGCTTCAGGCTGAAAGTTTCCAAAGGGTAGAAACAGTGTCTCTCCCACCAAATCAGGCACTTCCCTGGGCAAAGAGGGGGCCTGGCTGTGTGGTTTCATCTCTCTGCCTGTTGTTGGCCCACAGGACCTGCCAACTGATGGGAATCCTCACCTCCAGAAGTTCTCCATCTGTCTTTCCTCTTCTGAGCCTTGATATTATGGAGAGAACCAAAAAGGCTCTTTCTGGACTTTTCTAGTTCTCTTCATTATTCTCCCTATCCTTCTCCTGGCCGAGCCCCACCTTTATGCCTCCTGGAATTCCTGTGGCCACTTATTCTGTGAGAACAAGTATGACCCAGCACAGCACTTTGTGGGGAGGGGACAAGTCTGATGTAATGAACCATAGGGGTTCCAGACTCCACAGGGGTTGGGGGCAGGCGGGGGGTAGGGAGGGAAGCGGGGAGGGAAGGAGACAGAGTGAGATCTCTGTCCCAGAGCCAGGCTAAGCGGCTTGGATGAAGCACTTGGAAGCTGAGAAAGAGAAGGACAGTAAGAAACACGAATCTCTTTGCTTTCTTGAGATTGGGGGTGGGTGTCTCAGTGAAATTACTTTGGGAACCTCAATGAATCAGGTCCTCTAAGAGTATTTAATTATGCAGAGGTGATATTGAAAATATTAAACATCTGCTAAGGCTGACAATAAGCTTGGATGCCTGGAGGACCTGCCGTGCCAGGGGGTTACACGTCTGGTGGATGGATCCCGGGAGGTCTGAAGATCCTGGGGGAGGGAACAGGGAGGTCCCTGGGCAGTAGCTCTTTGTGATCCGGAACAGTACATCCATATTTTAATCACTGTGATCATCAGTTGAGTTATCACCTCTGTTTTTAATCCAGGAACATTTTCGGCTCTCTCAGAATCTAATCTGGAATGTGAGCCTGGTAGAGTACTAGGCATTTACTGGGTAGCGGGTAGATGGGACACAGATGGGAATTCCCAGGGTGGACACAGGGGCTCAGACCCAAGGGGCCATGCCACGTCTGAGTTCCAGCCAGCGGCCCGGGCAGATCTTTCCAGCCAGCGGCCCGGGCAGATCTGTCCCCATCTCCAAGAAAGCAAAGGGATGTCCCCACCCCAGGCAGGTGGGGCGGAGCAGCAACTCACAGCAGGCGGGTTGGGGGTAGCCCCGTGGGGCGAGTGTGGGGGAGAGAGGGTCATCCTCACGAGCACGGGCATCTCGTCGTCCGACATCGAGCTGGCTGGCTTGTCTCTGGCCGAGGGGGCGGCAGCGACGCTGTTGGCGAAGCCCTGAGAGCTGGGCTTGGGCGGGAGAAGCTTGACAGGGACAGACACGGGCATGACCATAGGCGTGAGGCTTTCCGCCTCGGGAGGGAGCTGAGGTGGCGGCGGCGGAGGCGGAGGCGGCAGTGGCGGCTGGGGCTGAGGCGGAGGCGCCGGGGCCTTCTCTCCTTCCTCCTACACAGACAATAAAGGCTTTGATCCTGGGCTCAGAGCAGCTCCCACAGTGGGGCATGCAACTTTGCTCTTCCTGCAAGGCTCCTGGACATCACGCGTGGGTGACAGAGAACCGCCTCAGGGTGGCTTCCTTCCTGCCACCCTGAGTCCCTTGGCTCCAGTGACGCCCATGGGCAGTGGACAAGGCACTCTATTTTCTACATTTAAAAAATCCTGACCACTTGTATATTCAGACAGACAGTGAAGAAAAGTTTTTGTGTGGTTGTCATTGCTTTTCATGAAAAGGATCTGGATTTAGAATCAGGCAAAAAAAAAAAAAAAAAAGAAGGAAAAACCCCACATGTAGAACCTTTTAATTCTCTGGGCTGCAGTTGACTCATCTGTTAAATGGAAGACAAAGATCTTTTAACTGGCACCATCAAGAAACGGAGTGACCTGGATCACATCAAAGTTTTCGGTGAATAGCGAGTTAATCTCATAGACTTAAAATCAAGATGCACAATATTCAAAGAATCAAGAAAATTCTTTTGAGTTTTAACCTAACTCTAAAACTGCGTGGATAGTCCACCACAAGCATATCCTGCCTGCATAATCCTGAGAGCATTTAAAGGTCTCTAGATGCCAGAGTCTAACACTGGTGCCCCAGTGAATAGAAAATGCTGGCTGGGAGCCTGGTGGTCACACTAGCTCTCCCTGGCCACTGACTACTGATTTGGAAGGCCTAAGGGACCCTGGTCTTGAGTGCGTCATGCAGCAGAAGTTAAAAACAATATTGCATCTCCATGTTTTCTTTGCTGTCTTCTCCAGGATGTAGAGAGGCTGGGATCCCCTAAAAGGACTTCTACCACATCAGTTCTAGATTTTTGTCCATGGTGCCAGTGGAAGTGGGGACTGTGTGATCTGGCTGGCTCCCAGCGTCAAAGCTTGAGCACTTCTGTTAGGGAAGGACTACGCCTCTCCAGGTCCCCCTGGTGGGGCTCACATTACTCCATCTGCCGGCAGCAAAGCAAAGCAAGCAGCACATGGCCTGGGAAGCATAGGAGGTGCATTCCTGCTCACCTGTTTGAGGCTGGGGGAGGCCCTCATCCCCCCATGGGACCGCATGTGGCCATTCAGGGCGGGCAGGCTCTTGAACTCCTTCAGGCAGATGGAGCATGTCAGCTTGTTCTTGGCATCAAACTGCTCCCCAAACACTCCTTTGGGTTGGCCGCTGCTCAAGGGTAGGGCCAAGTGGAGAGGACACACACATGAACAAAGGGAAACAATGACTCATCACAAGGCCACACAACCCACGATGAACCCGTTTCATTCACCCAAAGCTCCTACGGCCATGGCCCCTCGCCAATTCCCTTCGGAGAACTGAGCCCAATTTGCAGATGGAAAACAGAGGCTCAAAAGTAGGAAAGGGTATGCTTAAGATCATGCAAAAGGTGAACCAAACATCTTTCTGCATCCCAGGCCTTCACGTGCTGGTTTTTTCCCCCACCTCTGGCTTACTACCCTTCTAGAAACAGGGTGCTTGGGTCCTCCTCTTCTAGAAGCCTTCCCTTAGAGATATGAGTCTCAGTCCTCTGATTAAGTCTTCAGATTATACATCTTAGTTTGTCAGGTTCTGGCTAACTCTGGCTTTAATGATTTACCACACCCATGAGGGGAGGAAGTAAGACTGTACTATTTCACTATGGCATCCTCAAAGCTTAGCTCTATGTCTGGCACACAGTAGGTACTCAATAAACACTCACTGAATGGATAAGAGGGCAGAACATGGGCTTTGGAGTCTATGCCAGCACCCCTACTTTCTCGATGTGCAAATTTAAGCTCTCTGAGACTCAGCTTTCTCATTTGTAAAATAATAATGATAATAACAGTTAATAGTGGTTGAGTGCTTACTACATGCTAGGCACATGGTAATCATACCCACCCTCACTGAGTTACTTTTATTAGACATGATATGGAGTAATAGTAAGTGGCTCAACCAGAACAGCTATTATTATTCTTATAAATTTTTTTGAGGAACTGACTTTGAATTTGGAAATGAATCATGAGACAATCCAGGAAAACCTCCCAGTCTCCCCCCATGCCAACAAGCATCCATCCTACCTTGACTCAGGAGACCCTGGCTGGGCTCGGCCATCAGGTAGGTGCATCTAATTTTGAGCAATGCAGGACACCAGAAGAAAGAAGAGAAGAAAAAAAAAAAAGCATGTTTCTGACGGGAGGGGTCCTTGAGCAGTGGGAACACCAGGGCCTGCCCTTCTAGGATTCTTCCCTCTCTCTGCCTCATGCTGACCGGGCTCATAGCCACTCATGCCCTTGGCCTTCCACACCTGAAACTTCCAGTCTTCTTTCCCCCGAGGCTCATGGGCTTGGGGCCACACCCCTGAGGATGCTCCGCCAGCCACAAGCCCACTGGGACTCAATCCCTCACCTCCCTTCCTGTTCTCCCCGTCTACCCCTCTGTGCACGGACAGACTCCATTCCCAAGAGAGACACAGACGGAGAGCTGGATGATACAGCCTCACATAAGGAGACCTCCTGCTGGGATTCTTTTTAGCCTGGGCCATGTCATCTTATTCGTGTATTCACAAAGGCTCTCAGTTACTACTGGCCTGAGTCCTAAACAAAACAGGGTCAAAGGGAATTCATCTCTGGTCTTCAACCTTCATCAGAGCCCTCTCTTCATCTACCCTGGTCTTATTTAAGGTACTCTCCTGCCCTGAATCTGTTGACACTTGAGTGTAGCACTTGGAACATGCCAAAACATGAACGGTGCCCAGCATATCTTAGGCAGTTTTATGATCAAATATATTTGGGAAACAATTAAGAGTTAATACCTGTCACCCACAGGCTGAATCTGACCTGCAGACATGGTCTGCTTGGCTGGACTGTTTTTAAAAACCCTGACTATGGATATCTTTAGTTGGGGCATAGGCCCTCCAGTCCACACAATCCATACCAGGCCATTCTGCTTATTGACTTTACCTGCCTGGATCCTGTGGGCAGCTAAGGTTTTCACCAGTGCAACTACATGAGGTATCCCCTGATATTGATTTCTCCCATGAACCCACTCCCCTCCCCCGAGCAATGTCCACTAAACATTCTATGGAACTCCTATTCTCAGCAATAGACTTTGAGAAATGCTGTCATAATATGGTCTCCCTCCCCAGAAGGGAACAATTTCATAGGAAGTCCCCTAAGGATACAGACCTAAGGGGGACAAGACATCCCCACTGTGTGGTCCCTGGGCACCTGATGAGGCCTTGACCATGACATGCATCACTGGGGACCTGATATATATATTTTGGCCACCTCTTTAGTGAGATTATAAGCTCTACGGGCAAAAGACTGAGTCACAATTGATTTCGTATTCCACAGTGTCTGGTTAATGTTTGTGGAATAAAGAAAGAACGAAAGCGTCGGAGGGCTTTGGAGGATGGGACTAGGCACTGCATTGGACTCAGCTCTGGCTGGCGCATGCACACCCTGAGATCCCGGGATTAATGTCCACTCTGAGGATACCTGGGGCCACACGGCACTGGGAGACAGCTGCTGGTGCTGAGACCCCATGTTGTTGAGGTGGATGCTGCCGGGGGACAGGAGCGGCCGGTGCGGGAGGGCACTGCTGGCCCGGTTCAGGTCGGAGCTGGCCGCGTCTCCCATTCCTGTATCTGGAGGCCCCAGGTCCCCATGGGAGCTCAGCATGGCCTGGGCCTGCCTGTCGCCTGGATAAGTCTTGGGCTGACCGTCCTCAGGCTGCTGGTGCTGAGGCAGGTGGCTCTGCTGGTACACGGGGTGGCCGTAGGGCTGCTGGGGCTCCTGGTAGTAGTACTGGGGCATGGAGCCCAGCTGAATCAGCTGGACTGCGTGCGCCTGCTCCGGGGTGTATTGGTGGGGGTCCCTGTGATAAGAAGGGGGCTGCAGGTGCATCTGGGGCTGCTGCGGCTCTGGCAAAGGCTGTATCATGGGTGGGGACTGGTAATACTGAGGTATCTGCATTGAACCCTGCCGCGGCTGTGGCTGGGGCTGGGGCTGTGGCGGGCGAATCTGCTGTTGCGGCGGTGGCTGCATTTCTTGCATGGACACCCGCTGCTGCCCAGTGTGTGGCTGTTGCTGCGGCGGGTAATACTGATGCGGCTGCAGCTGCTGCATGTGCTGGGATAGCATCTGGGGGGCCTGCAGCGACTGTCCTCCCTGCACCGGCATCTGGGCCAGCGGCTGCTGGTAGTCGTAATACAGGTGCCCTTGGCTCGGGTGCTGCCCGACCTGGAAAGCCGGTTTGGATAGCCCACCGGTGAAACCAGGGTGAGGCTGCTGGGACGCCTGCTGGTAGCGGGACGGGAGAGCCGGTGCTGGGGCCTCCATGGGCTTCTGGGACAGCAACTGGCGGAGGGCGCTGTCGGGTGCTCCATCCATCACTGCCGACTGGGTGTGCAGCACCTGGGCCATATTGTTGACCTGAATTCGCAGGTTTTGGTTGGCAAACACCTGGGTGAAAGAGTCTAGCTTGTGCAGGACACCGCTGGTGAGCTTCTGGGTCCGGATCTCGCTGGCCTGCGAGTAGGTGTACTGGTAGCCATCAGTGGGCTCCGTCTGGGTTGGCGCCCCCCACATCATGTTCGAGTTGGTCAGGTTGCCACGTAGCTGGACGTGGTTTCCAGGCCCTGCGTGGCCTCCCCACCCTCCCTGCCTCGAGGTATCCACTTGGCCAAGGTTTTTGGAGCCAACAGCCAAGCCTAGACCATCCCGAGTGTCTTGAGGGAAGTGGGGGGAGATGGGTGATGCTTGAGGGGCATCCATTCCAGCCCCGGGCACTGTATTCCCATAGTTGTGGTTCAGCCCGCCGTGGACGCCAAGTGGTGGCTGTTGGTAGAAAAGGTTCTCACCACCGTGGGCCACGTGGTTGGTCTTGTACAGCTGCTGGTCCCCCATGGTGCCTGCCCTGGTTGTGACCACAAAACCATACAAAAAGGTCAATGACACAAACCCGAAAGGACTGAAACCCTGAGAAGCAGAGAGAAAGCGTCCACGCTACTCCACGGCTGACATGTCCGTGACTGTGGCTACAGCCAGGTGTTCCCGTTGGCCTCTACCACGCATGTGCAGAGCGAGGGGTTTTACATCCTCACCCGGGAGAAGGGACGGACCAAATGCCACCGTGGTGAAGAGATGCTGCTCACACCTGCAAGACAAGTTGCAAAGGACAGGAAAGGACTTACTTGGATGTTTTGCAATGAGCAACTGTATCTACCACAACTCTTAGAGAAATAAACACAAAACGGGAGCCTGGATTAGAAATAGCCAGTTTCATACACGCCACACCTTTACACTGATTCCGCAGATCTTGACCCTCACGTGAGATGTAAACTCTCTTACTTTCAAGCCATTGCTCAACGGCTCATTAGCTCATCGATTCGTTAATTCATTGTTTTGCTCACTGATTAATTCATCTGTTCTTCTGGGACCCTGCTATTGAAAGCCCAGCAATACTGTAGGGCCTAAAAGGATATGAAGAAGTTTAAAACACTCATAACTCAATTCATCTGGTCAACAAACACTTATTAGACACAGACATTTACTAAGTGGAAGACACAATGCTTAAGGGAATGATTAAGACATGGGCCAGATCTCAAGGAGCTTACAGTGGAAAAAGGAGTTGGTCCATGAATAACTACAGTATGAGAAGGAAAGAGACACATGTAATAGAAAGGGAAAAATAACAGATATGGAACTCATAGGCTGGAGGGTGTATTTCTAGCAGAAGAACAGTTTCAAAGAAGAGCAGTGCATGTCAGTACACAGCTACTTGATTCTTTGGTATCCCTGCTCAAAGAAACATTCGTGCACAGTGCCGATCACCTGGCCAGAAGTCTATGATGTGCCTGGGCTCAATAAATAAATAAATAAGTAGATAAACAAATAGCCTGAGCCAATCAAGTTCCCTCTCTTAGAAACATGAACTAGGGGATTTCCTCAGTGGTCCAGTGGTTAAGAATCTGCCTGCCAATGCAGGGGACACGAGTTCGATCTCTGATCCAGGAAGAACCCACATGCCACAGAGCAACTGGGTCCCTGTGCCACAACTACTGAGGCCACACTCAGAACCCTGAAAGTGAGACACTCTAATAAATAAGTAGTAAATCTTATTTGCAAGCTGGGTGGTTTCCAATTCTTGTTTTTCATTAGGAAGGCCCAGTAGAAGTAATTAAAATACAATTGTCAGTGATAGATCACTATGTGATTTTTGGAACATAACTCAGAAGCAGATCAAGAACACTGAGCTGACACCACTTTAATAAAACTCCTATTTTTTATCTATTAGTTTATACGAATGAGGCTTTTCCATGTTTACATCTAGATAAATGAAAAATAGAAATATAATAGATGCCGGCCTGTGTCTCATATCTTATGCAACAAACAGTATTCTTCCATGGGCAGATTAAAAAAAAAAAAAACACAAAAAACAGAAGAAATAACCCAGCACCAGCACGAGTCTACCTCTGGACCTGGGTGACAGCTGCATGGGTGGTGGTGCGCTTACTCTGTGATAACCTGAGTTGCTCACTCGGACTTCATCACATGTGTATATGTTGTACGTCAATAAAAAAATGACTTAGCCAAAGCGTGGAAACAACCTAAATGTCCATCAGCAGGTGAATGGATAAAGAAGATGTGGCACACACGCACACACACACACACACAGGAATGCTACTCATCCACAGAAAAGAACAAACTAATGCCATTTGCAGCAACATGGATGCAACTCTAGATTGTCATACTGAGTGAAGTGAGTCAGAAGAGAAAAACAAATATCATATACCATCACTTATATGTGGACCTAAAATATAGCACAAATGAGCCTAACTACAAAAAAGAAACAGACTCACAGACATAGAGCTCAGACTTGTGTTTGCCACGGGAGGCGGGTGGGGGAGGGACGCACTGGGAGTTTGGGGCTGGTAGATGTAAACTACCACACTGAGAATGGATAAACAACAAGGTCCTACTGTTTAGCACAGGGAACTATATCCAGTCTCCTGGGATAAACCATGATGGAAGAGAATGTTTAAAAAAGAATGTGTAAAACTGAGCCACTGTGCTGGACAGCGGAGATTAACACAACGCTGTAAATTAATTATACTTCAGACAAAAAAAACCCCCAACACCGCAAACAAAAAAGTGTGTTTACATGAAAAACAATCAAATGTTACTCTCTTTAAAAAGTCTCCAGCATCACCATCTAAGGTATATTTTCAATATGATTTTAATTTTTATGTGTATTATTTATCCAAATTAGAATATCCTTTATGCTGTCTTGATCAACTGCACACTTTTAATAATCATTATAATGATAACTCAAACAGGAAGAAAATTTTAGAACTTAGAACTTTATGATTTCAGGAAATTTAAAAAGTTTTAACTTCATATAAAACTGTTACAAAAAATTAGGATAGGGAAACAAATGATAGAGTTTTAGGGACAAAAAACATATTACATTAGGATAAAATTCCACAGGGGAAGTGAAACAGAAATAAAATTTCAGGACAAAAAGGAACACTGACTATTAATGAAGAACATATTCATACATTTTTAAAATGGATGATGTGGGTATCAAATACCATGGTGTTTAGATTCCACTGGATAAATTTAAAAGAGTGATGTCATAGTTTTACTTAAAAATATCAGTGTTTACAATGTACTGGAAATTGCATCTTCTGCAGACATATGATAAAAAATGTAGATGTAAACTTAAAAATGTGTGAGGGGGTATTTACAATATCCTTTTATGGGGGATTTTAAGCAGGAAGTTTTTGAAGATCCCCCCCGCCCCCAACTGGGAGCAAATCTAAGTTGGTCTCTGTCCCTTTCTGAATGAGAAGAGATGGAGATGGACAAATTCAGGGTGAGGCATTTGGTTTGGTGGAATGAAGGGTGGAACAAGGAAAGCAGTGGGGTGGGACAAAGGCTGGCTAAACATGGCTGGAGCAGACCCTGAAGATGAAGACTTGAGGACTCCCAGCGACCACTCCCTAAGAGGGTCTGACCTCCTGATCAGCTGCCTGCTCCACACCCTCATTTCTAAATTCAAAGCAAACTCAACATCATCTCCCCCAAAATGGATGCTCCTCCAAAGCCCTCAGGACTTCCCTGATGGTCCAGTGGTTAAGACTCCATGCACCCAGTGATGGGGGCTCAGGTTTGATCTCTGGTCAGGGAACTAGATCCCACATTAAAAAAAAAAAAAGATCCTGCAGGCCACAACTAAGACCCTTGAGTGTGTGCAGGCTAAGTAGCTTCAGTCATGTCTGACTCTGTGTGACCCTATGGATTCTAGCCTGCTAGAATCCTCTGTCCATGGGATTTTCCCAGCAAGAACACAAGAATCCTCTGTCCATAGCTAGCTCCTCTGTCCATGGGATTTTCCCAGCAAGAACACTGGAGTGGCTTGCTGTGCCCTCTTCCAGGGCATCTTCCCGACCCAGGGATTGAACTTGTGTTTCTTATGTCTCCCGCGTTAGCAGGTGGATTCTTTACCACTAGTGCCACCTAGGAAGCCTAACTAAGACCCAGCACAGCCTAAAAAAATAAATATTTTAAGAAAACAAACCAAAACAAAGTCTCACCCTTGACTCTTGCTTCCCCCTTAACCAACCACCACGACCCATCAATTTACCACCTAGTATTTTCTGAACTTGACCCACTTTCCTCTGGTTCCACTACTAGCACCCTAGTCCAGGGCACTGTATTTATCTTCTGCACTATCCCCAAAGCATTCTGATTGGTCATCTCCCTGCTTTCAGTCATGTCCATTCCCCGCACAGCAGCAGCAGAATAAACTTTCCGAAATGTACTGTGATAACATCATCCCACTGTTTAAGACCTTTCCATGACATCTTTAGTACCATTCAGTTTAAAATAAAAATCATAATGGGGCTGACAGGGTTCCCCATGGTTTGTTCCCAGCCTCAGGATATAACCCTTTTCTCCTTGTTCTCCCCACCAACTCCGTGTCCACATTCCCAGTCACTCTGGTCTCCCAGAGTGATCAGGTTCCATGAATCTGCCAAGCTGTCTCTTACAACAGGACCTTTGCACATACTGCCCCTCCCCAATTTGGAGAGCTTTCCCCTTCCCTTCTTCACCTCTTCATCCAGCCAAGTCCTGTGCATCCTTCAGTTCTCAGCCCAAACTATACTTTCTTAGAAAGTCTATCCTAACCTCAACTCCCAAGGCTACATCAGGGTCATTTCTTTTATGTTCTCACAAAACCATATCCTCTTCCTTCAGACCACTCTTCTCAGCCTGTAACTGTATTTCCACCAGTGTAATTATTTGATTCATGGATCTTTCTCTTACCAGGGTAGGGACCATGTCTTTTTTTTTTTTTTCCTTGCCTATGATTCTATTCCCTAAATCCACCATAATTCCCAGTATATGGTAGGCCCTCTGATAAGAATTTCTTGATAGAGGGGTAATATTATTGAATGAGTGAATCAATAAATAGAAAAAAAAATTAAGAGAACAATGATCAAGTGTCCTAGTGAACTGATATACAGGAAAAGTTATTCAGTGTAGGCTGAGCGAGTATTAAAATCCTCATAAAGAACAATTATATTTTACCTGGTCCTGATGGACAAATAGGGTTTACAGAGCTGAGAGGACCAGCAGGGGAATTCCACCTGTGGGAACATGCACAAAGGCCAAGAATCAGGTGCAGGGGTCCATGCTGAGGCTTCACATCCTTGTGAGGAACTCACTGATGATCAGGCTAAATTTGTATGGTCAGGGATAAATTGTGGGGGTCTTAAAATGATGTTCAGGGATGTCCCTGGTGGCCCCTGGGACACCAAGCTCCCAATGCAGGGGGCCCAGGTTTGATCCCTGGTTGGGGAACTGGATCCCACATGCCACAACTAAAGATTCTGCATGCACAATTAAGGATCCTGCATGCTGCAACTGGGACCCAGCACAGCCAAATAAATGGAAAAAAAAATTATTTCCAGCAGTGTTATCCAGTGGGCATTAGCCCTGGTGATATCAGAATGTCCTGCTTGGCTTAAACCTCACCACGTAACCTTCCTCGAAAGCCTTGCACCACCGCACCTCCCCCAGGAAGAATTACTTACTGAAACTCACCAGCCTCTGACCATGATCTGACTCCGTGTCTCTACATTATACACT